TCATCAAGCTCTACACCTTGTTATCTCAGATTCTCCAGCATCGGCAGTTTCTGCTATCTCCAAACTACAGAAGGTGGTGTGCACAGCCCAGATCATCATGGAAGCCAACTTTCCATCCATGGCCTCCGTCTACAAGGCTCGCTGCTGCGGAAAGGCTGACAACATCATCAAAGACCCATCGCACCCTGGTAATGATCTCCTACATCCTCTTCCGTCAGGCAGAAGACACAGAAGCCTGAACACACACACCAGCAGGTTCAGGAACAGCTTCTTTCTGGCTGCTATCAGCCTGTTGAATGGACTCTCGCCTCAAATAATGTAACCTGTGTGCTGCTGAGTCTTTTTGATCTGTACATCCTTTGCTTGCTGTGATCTGCCTGTACCGCCTGTAAACAAAGCTTTTCACTGTATTTCGGTACACGTGACAATAAAAAAAAATCAATCAATCATTGGCTGGGAAGCCCCTGTTGACGATCAGTTTTGCCTCCGAACCACCAGATGGTGGGTTTGAACTCCAGTGAAGCACAAGGGCTGACATGTTGGTGCAGTACCGGGGGAGTGCTGGACTGTCTGAGGTGCATGAGAAATGAGACCTGTGGGTTCAGGTAGATGTAAAGACCCAGCTGCACTTACTTGGAAGAACCAATCGAGCTAACCCCAGCCTCCTGGCCAATATTTATCTCTCAAACAACAGCCCGCATGCAGAATAACTGCTCATTTTCACGTTGCTGCTTGTGTACACTTTAACTTGCCATATTTCCTACGTGACAACATCCACTGTCCCGACAAAAGCACTTCATTCGCTGTCGAGACCTTGTGTGCGGTGGTCATGTGAGGGGCTATACAAATGCAAGTCAGTCTTTTATCAGAAAAGTGTACATCAACCTTTCTCTGGGTCTTAGTAGAAAGGGGGAAAGAAATTGGAGAATAAAAGTTATTGGCGATGAACTGTGTGCATCTCAGGTTAAGTCGCCTTGTGTTAAAGCTGCAAATGGAACTGTTTACAGACACGAGGGGATAAACTGTAGGAATAATGTACCTCAAAGACGTTTTCCATCAACCTAGGCCTAAACTGAGCCCGAATCGAGGAGGGTACAATATTTTTTCCCTGGGATATTTTGGCATTGCTGTGTGGGAATCTGTAGCAAACCGCTTCTGTGGTTTGCGCGGTATAAATTCAACGGGTCACCTTTACACTGCCTCGCTGTTAAAACAGAGCTGCGCAAGGCGTACGGTCGAATAATTTAAGTAAAAGTGGCCAATTTAAAACCGATCACATACTGTGGGGGTGGAAAAATCGAGAGAGAGACACACAGAGGGTTTGCTTGCAGACTACCTACCGAGCGGGTTTTGCAAACGCCGGCGTTATCCCTCCAAATTCGCTCGGCTGCCCTCGCCTGGGGCTTCCACCCGGTACATGGTAAACTGGCGAAATTGCAGGCACCGGGACCCACCGGCCGCTGCTGCTGGAAGGAATCTGTTACGGAATTGCACGAACCCGAGAGAGAGAGATAGACATAGAGATGGAGAGTTTGCATTCAGAGCGGAATGAGCGGCTCCGCTCCCACGTGTAGCAAACAGGGGCAGTGTAACAAAATATGTAACAACTTGTGTAACAAACTGTGTAACATAGAGTGGGCCGCCCGCCTGGCGGCGCGCGCTGTAGAACCCTGGCCCGGGGATTTGGAACGTTGACCCGGGAATGGAGCTACCACGCGCTGCCTGCCCTTATATCGAAGGGCATCCCTTTGCTTGTCTATCTGTGAAACCCCTATTGCAACCATCCCGCTCTCCCCTCCGTTATATTCTCTTTTTTTTTTGTTTGCAATATTTAGCACTCCTCTCCCCCTTCCTCAATTTTGCACTTTTATTTTTTAAAAAGAGAAACAAATTGCATCGCAGTGCATATTTCCTCTTCCAACGTTACAAGCGCAGTTATTCCCTCTCCCGAGTGTGCAGCTTCGCTAATGGGCCCATCTGCACCGTGAAAGCAAGGAAGAGCATTGCTGCCGGAGGGGTTTGAATGGTGCATCAATGTAATTGCTTCCTGTGGCACCGTAGAGAGAGTCATGACGGCAAGAGGGACTGCTAGCCGCTTCCTGCAGAGTGTCCTGCAGAATGGAGTGGGCAGGTATATCTGCCAGCTGAAGAGAGTCACTCTGGTCTTCAGTAAAGATGCCCCGAGCAGCAGAGGGGTCAGGTTAGTACGATTCTTATCTCATTCCTCCTTCCCCGTTTCCTCTAGTGCCATAGAGTCGTACAACATTGAAACAGACTCTTCGGCCCAACCCGTCCATGCCGAACAGATATCCTAAATTAATCCAGTCCCATTTGCCAGCATTTGGCCCATATCCCTCTAAACCCTTCCTATTCATCTACCCATCCAGATGCCTTTTTAAATGTTGTAATTGTACCAGCCTCCGCCACTTCCTCTGGCAGCTCATTCCATACACGCACCACCCTCTGTGTGAAAAAGTTGCCCCTTAAGTCCCTTTTAAATCTTTCCCCTCTCACCTTAAACCTATGCCCCTCTATTTTTGGCCCCCCCCCCCCCCCCCCCTACAACACAATATCAATGCAATATCCTTTTATTGACACTTGTGCCCCATTGTAGGAGTACGGTGAAAGAGAGCTTGAATATTCATCCTATTCATGTCCCTCATGATTTTATAAATCTCTATAAGGTCACCCCCTCAGCTTCTGACGCTCCAGGGAAAATAGCCCCAGTCTATTCAGCCTCTTCCCTTTAGGTCAAACCCTCCAACCCCGGCAACATCCTTTAAAAATCTTTTGTGAACCCTTTCAAGTTTCTAGCCCCTTCTTTCTCTCTCCCTCCCCCAACTTCTTCCTTCTGTAAACACTAACCCATTAAATGTAATTTGTCCTGAAGGACAAGCATCAGAATATTCGCCCTACCTTTGAGCAGGAAAGCGTGCGACAGAAAGGGTCGAGGAAGGGGATAGATGCCTCCGATGGGGAGTAATGCTGATAGTTGCACATTATAATGTTCTACAGTGTTTCCCTTTGGGGCTGAGGAATGGGAAGGAAGCGTTTTAAACAAAATCATTCGCATGGTATAGGCATCTCTGGCAAGGCTTCTTTGTCTGCTTAACTTCTCTGCCCCAAGGTAGGTAGTACCCAGACCACCATACCTCATGGATAGGGATCTCCCAAATACTTTTGTGAGGGTTAACTTTCTCAACACAATAGCCCACATGCAGACATCAGCTCCACAAATGTACACATAGACCACAGGCTTGCATTTGGTTTTTCCACCTTATTTTCTACATATTCCTGCAAGGGTAAAATTCCCAACTTGTCTGCACTTTGGGACGTAATTTATGGGAAAGGTGGCTTTTTACTGAGAGAGATGGTCAGCCTTTAATTATCTGTAGCTACAGGAGATCACAGTTTGGTTTTTTTTCCATTGCATCTCTCCCCATTAAAGTCTATCTATTTGAAGTTTTGCTGACACTCTACAGGTGTGGCATTCCATGGGTTCACACAAGGACTTTTAACAGTGAATTACATTATCAGGCATTCAAAGGAAACGTTATTTAAAAGTTCACTATGTATGTAAGTAACATAGGGTTTTGATTCCAACACCAAGACACAATCCAAACAATTGTTGTGTACAGAAGAGGCCCTTCGGCCCATTGAGTCTGCACAGACAAAAAACTACTATAAATCAGCACTAGTCCCACTTTCCTGCACGAGGCCCATAGCCTTGAATGTTCGAACACTTCAAGTGCTCATCCGTATACTTTCTAAAAATTGTGAGATTTCTCACCTCAACTCCCCTCCCAGGCGCGCATTCCAGACCCCCTCCACCCTCTGGGAGAAAATCATTTTCCTCAAATCCCCTCTAAGCCTCCTGCATTTCACTTTAAAATGATGCTCCCCTGCCCCCTTTCTTCTTGACCCTTTGACTAAAGGAAACAGCTGCTTTCTGTCCACCCTGCCCATGCCCTTTGTAATCTTACACACCCCGATCAGGTCCCCCCCTCAACCTTCTCTGCTCCAAAGAAAACAATCTGAACTACTCCAGCCTCCCTTCGTCACTGAAATGCTCCATCCCATGTGAATCTCCCCTGTACCCCCTCCAGTGCAATCACGTCCTATAAGGGTGACTCAGTGGTTTGCACATTCTCCCCATGGCTGCGTGACTTCCCCCCAGTCCAAAGATGTGCAGACTTGGTGGGTTAGCGATGGGAAATGCAGGGATAGTGTAGAGGAGTGGGTCTGGGTGGGATGCTGTTCAGAGGGTTGGTGGCTGACTCATATGGCCTCTACCTGCACTGTAGATGGACCTCCATCAGCACTATCCTGCCTTACCTTTGGGACAGGTTTGTAACTGAATGACAGATCGGCCCTTGTCCAAGGTCATAGATTTGGAAGGTGCTGCAAGGGACTTTTGTGGATGTTACAAGTTGCAGCTGCAAAGTACTGGTGCTGGAGGAAGAGTATGTTTAACATGGTAGATGAATGTATTGATTATCAGCAACAGGGAATGTGTACTTCCAATGTATCTCCTTCTAATGTTCCTTGGTCTCCACAGAGAGTTTGTTGAAGAAGGTGTGGTGGATTTTGCAAAGAAGAATCCTGGTGTGGTGGTTTATGTCACCGTGAAACGGTGTAACGTTCCAAAGCTGGTTGGGGAATATCGTAAGTATCAGGAACACTCTTCGCACTCCCGGTTGGAAGTTCTGTCCAGGAAATGGTGCTGGAAAGTCCTGCTCACCCCCAGATCTGTCCTGACAACTTCCTGATGAGTCACCAAGCCTCCAGTCATGTGACTATGTCCTTTACTTTTCTGTCATAGGACGTGGGGGTCACTGGCTGGGCCCAGCATTTATTGCCCCGTCCCTAGTTTCCCCCTTGAGAAGGTGGGGATGAGCTGCCTTCTTGAACTGCTGCAGTTCATGTGTAATAGGTTTGCTGACAATGCCCTTAGGGAGGGAATTCCAGGGTTTTGACTCAGCGACAGTGAAGGAACGGTGATATGTTTCCATGTCAAGATGGGGAGTGGCTTGGAAGGGAACTTGAAGGGGATGGTGTTCCCATATATCTGCTGCCCTTGTCCTTCTAGATGGTCATGGGTTTGGAAGGTGATGTCGGAGGATCATTGGTGAATTTCTGCAGTGCGTCTGCTGTTACTGAGCGTCGGTGGTGGAGGGAGTGGAAAGTTTGTGGATGTGGTGCCAATCAAGTGGACTGCTTTGTCCTGGATGGTATCAAGCTTCTTGAGTGTTGTTGGGGCTGCACTCATCCAGGCACATGGGGAGTATTCCATCACATTCCTGACTTGTGCCTTGTAGATGGTAGACAGATTTTGAGGAGTCAGGAGGCGAGTTACTCGCTGCAGTATTCCCAGCTTGGAAATCCTACCCAAGATTTTGACAAAGTGAAGCTAACATATCAGTCTTGGTCCCAGCACCAACCTGTGCTTCAAGGCAACAAAACAACAAATTTTTCTCCCATGGCCAATTGTGACAACCTAGTTTAGTGTCACTGCCTCTTGCCAGCTCATCCTCTGTGGAGGATGGCTACTGGCCATGGGTAAATAATGCCCATCTCTATGTTCCAGTGTCAGTCACTGTCTCTGTGTATGAAGTCTATATGTTTTTACCCTCTGTACTAGCAGGAGGAGTGGGTGGTTCTTTGAAGCACAGAACTTGAAAGCTCAGGGTTGAAGTCTTCCAACAGCTTCCTGCCTGGACTGGACCAGAAGAGCGAGTGAGATTCCTGGTCAGCTTTGTGAAAGAGCGCACATTGGAGTCTCTCCCATCATTGGCCCACAGCTACTGCATGCAGGATAGAAGTGTGTGTGTGTGTCTGTCTCTTCGGAAGTTGGGTGAACTGTAAGAGGACACAGACTGAGGCTCCGTAACAAGGTGGGCAGCATTTGATGAGCATGAGTAGTAACAGTGAAATGTTTAGATTTAATTATCACGTGGACTCAAGTACAGGAGTACAGTACAATGTCGCCACACACGCCGCCATCTTAGGTACGAACATACCAAGGTACAAAATAGTAGGAGAAACAGCTTAACAAGTTAAGCATTACTTAATAGAATAAGAAGAAAAATAAGGAAAAGTTAATGTTAAAGTCTTTCTTAATTTAAACTAGAAAAATAAAGGAATAAGTTCAAAGCTCAACAGTCTTCAATGACTGAAATAACACTCTGTACAATGGTTTCTTTTAGTAGGACGGCATGGTGGCTCAGTGGTTAGCACTGCTGCCTCACAGCGCCAGGGACCCGGGTTCAATTCCACCCTCGGGTGACTGTCTGTGTGTGAGTTTGCACATTCTCCCTGTGTCTGCGTGGGTTTCCTCTGGGTGCTCCGGTTTCCTCCCACAGTCCAAAGATGTGCGGGTTAGGGTGGATTGGCCACAAGAAAATGCAGGGTTACAGGGATAGGGGTGAGTCTGATTGGGATGCTCTTCGGAGGGTCGGTATGGGCTTGTTGGGCTGAATGGCCTGTTTCCACACTGTAGGGATTCAATAAATTCTGTGAACTTGTCAGAATTGGAGAATGATTGAAAATAAAATTAACAAAACCTTAAAAATGAAATACATAGGTGAAGACAAGATAATTAAGGGAGAATTTTTAATGTTTTTTAAAACATAAAGAAAACGAGCATTTTAAAGAAAAAGAAGAGGATTGAAAAGAAAAATCAGAGGGGAACAAACACCATTGGAATTTTATCATCCCATCATTGGTGTCAGTGGGCAAAGAGGGGGAAGAGAGGAAGGTTTTTTGTTTTATTTATACACTGAATGATGGCAATCTGGAAAAGACTGCCAGGCTGATCAGGGACAAATTCATAAGCAACTTCCAGAAGGAATATTGAATTAATAATCACAAAAGGGAATGGAATGGTGTGGGGAACTGGAGTAATGCCCTGTTCTTTAAAAAGGCAACATTGGCACGATTGGCCAAGAGGGCTTCAGCAACTGTAATTCCACAAAAACCCACGGAACGTGATATCGAAGCACATTGACGACAAAAATATCAAGGAACTGGACTCATCTCCTAGACACAGTGGCTAGAAGAGCAGGCCAGAAGCTGGGAATCCTGCAGTGAGTAACCCACCTCCTGACTCCCCAAAGCCTGTCCACCATCTACAAGGCACAAGCCAGGAGTGTGGTGGAATACTCCCCACCAGCCTGGATGGGGGCAGCCCCAACAACCCTCAAGAAGATTTACACCATCCAAGACAAAGCAGCCGCTTGATTGGCACCACATCCACAAGCATCCGCTCCCTCCACCACCGACGCTCAGTAGCAGCAGTGTGTACTATCTACAAGATGCACTGCAGAAATTCACTAAAGATCCTCAGACAGCACCTTCCAAACTCACGACCACTTCCATCTAGAAGGACAAGGGCAGCAGATACATGGGAACACCACCCCCTGCAAGTTCCCCTCCGAGTCCCTCACCATCCTGACTTGGAAATAGATCGCCGTTCCTTCAGTGTCGCTGGGTCAAAATCCTGGAATTCCCTCCTGAAGGGCATTGTGGGTCAACAGCAGGTGGACTGCAGCGGTTCAAGAAGGCAGCTCACCCCCACCTTCTCAAAGGGCAACTAGGGATGGGCCAATAAATGCTGGGCCCAGCCAGTGACACCCACATCCCATAAATGAATGAGAACTTTGAACTTACTGGTCAAGGGTTGCTGGTTGTATCTAATGGGCAATATGTTTGCCAGGTATTCGCAATCAACATTAGGATTTGAACAGAATAATTAGGTGGTTATTTTTGACTGGGGATGACCCTGTGGGCAGAAGGGTCTTTTCCTGTGTTGTAGACCCCTATGACTATGACTCTGAACATAGTCAAGGATCCTCCTGTGGAGATATTGTGAACAGTGTGATGGACAAAGCTCAATGTTTTGCCTCTTTCTGTCTCTCTCTCTCTCTCTCTCTCTCTCTCTCTCTCTCTCGTGTTTCAATTGCTGTCTGTGTCTGTCTCTCTTTCTCTGTGTCACTTTGTCTTTATTCCTCCTCCAGTCCCATCCGAATACACATCATTTATTTGGGCACATCCCCTCAGAGCTCATGTTGTGAATTCGCTGCTGGCCTCTCACAGTGGGCCAACACTGACCCCAAGGGCCAAAGGACCATAATCCTGTGATGGATATTCCCAATAACCAGGGAAGTCCAGGACCAGGGCTTACAGTCTCAGGTTATGGGGTGGACCATTTAGGATTGAGATGAGGAGCAATGTCTTCGCCTGGAGAGTGGGGAGCCTGTGGAATTCTCTGTCATGGAATGTTTTGGTCTCAAACACTTTGAATATTTTCAGGAAGGAGTTAGGTATAGTTCTCAGGGCTGAAGGGATCAACAGGCATGGGGAGAAGGCAAGGGCAGGGGTCTGAGTTAATGATCAGCCATGATGCTAAGGAATGGCCTGCTCCTGTTTTCTGTGTTTCAAATTTGCTATTGTTTCTCAGCCGGATTACACACCTTGTTGGTCGTTTTGAGCAGATGGAGAGGGGATAACGAAACGGCGGGGATTTTGCAATGATTGAATTTGCTGACACCCGCTTCATATGTACAGAGGATGCAAATTCTATTCTGTTAAATGTCGAGTATTCCGATTTTTCTCCACCACTGTCATGCAGTCTTTGACCACAAGGTGGTAGCCAAACCCAAAGGTTGTTCAGTGGTAACGCTTGAAACAGTCTGTGCGTGTTGAAGTGCAGTGTGACCCACCCAATCGATTCTGCGGGTTAACCACCCAAACAAGCAGCAATTGTAAATCCTTCCTCTTCCTTCATCATGCCCCATTCTCCTCCATTTGCCCTGTTTACCGTTAGCTATCAATACCACTTCTCTGGGACTGGGGCAGGTGGGGGTTTGCCATGTTGTAGATTACAGTTTTAGACTCCACTGTCTTTCTCCTAAGACTCAATACAATTCACCTCCCCACCCCACTCAATAAAACACCCTTCTTCGGAGCACTCACAATTTAACGATCAAATAAGAAATTTACAAGTGGACATGGACAGGTAGGGTGAATGGGCCAAAGTGTGGGTTTAATGTGGGTCAGTGTGAGGTTATTCATTCTGGTTGGAGGAATAGAAAGCTAACTTATCGAATTGGAGAGAAACTTCCGATTGCTTCGGTGCAGAGGGATCTGGGTGTTATTGTGCATGAATCACAGAAAACCAGTGCAGCACGGTGGCTCAGTGGTTAGCATTGCTGCCTCTCAGCGCCAGGGATCTGGGTTCAATTCCACCCTCAGGCAACTGTCTCTGTGGAGTCTGCACATTCACCCCCTGTCTGCGTGGGTTTCCTCTGTGTGCTCCGGTTTCCTCCCACAGTCCAAAGATGTGCAGGTTAGGGTGGATTGGCCATGCTACGTTACCCATAGTGTTCAGGGGTGTGTAGGTAGGTGGGTTAACCATGGGAATCAGGGTTGCAGGGAGAGGGGGAGTTGGTCTAGGTGAGAATTTCTCCACAGAGTCAGTGTGGACTCGATGGGCCAAAAGGCCTGCTTCCACCCTGTAGGGATTCTGTGATTCTGGGTACGGCAGGCACTAAGGAAGGCGAATGGAATTTTGGCATTTGTTGTGAAAGGGATGGAGTGTAAAAATAGGGAAGTGTTGCTGCAGCTGTGCAAGGCATGAGAGAGACTGCAGCTGGAGTATTGGGTAC